GTTATACAACCTGATGGTGATATTTTTTGTATTTCTAATGAGTATTACTCTACCTAATGTGTGACCGTTATACAATCGTGTGAATTTAATACCATTTGTGAAGAATTATATGTTTGAAGACATATAACATATGTTGATCTAATAAAACGCATAGTACGTATAATTATTTGTAATTTTTATGTCTCTCCCCGAAAAGGAAAAATCTGTATATGTGTATGTATAAATACCTACGCGCACTCACTCACGCACGCACATGCAGACACGCACGCAAATCCCTGTCTAGGTTTTATAATGAAAATGTACTGAATATGTTGATGAAATGTGTATAACATCTGTACCTGTGCGTGTGTATGTCGTACGTGCACATTATTATTGTTCGGTGATGAATATTCATGTGTGGCTAGTGTTGGCATTGCAGTTTATTTTGTATTTCGCATAATAAAAAAGAATTCAAGACTTCTAATTTGAAGCGTTTTTCGATTAAAAACCAAACGCACAATTTGCATTAACAACTTACATGCATGTTATCGGGATCAAGTGCTTTTTCGATGCATTTTGATGGTGTGTATTTGTGATGACACAATTGTTTATAAAGAGAAATCCCACACCGTGTCTGTCTGTTTTTACCAACATTCGTTTTCCTTTTCTCCTTTTACTCCAATTAATAATTATGTTGTTGTTGTTGGTTCTCTTGCGTAGTGTTTTACTTAGTGGTATCTGACTATGATGCTAGTGCGAGTGAGACGCTACCAGTGTAAGATATGTTTAATATATATATATTCATATGTAATTAATATATATATATATATCTTAAATATATATTGATATAAAGTAATCGACTTCTATACATGCTGAATTGTGCGCACACGGACCCCAGATTGGTCGTCTTACTAACGAATTACCTAACAACGCGGCTTTACCGTCGCCGCACACATAACCAACTATAGTGGCGCCGCCTAGGTGATCATAATTTATTCCGTGCTGGGATAATTAGCAGACATCGTTGGTGACCCATGTCGCTTTCCCAACGCAAATAATTAACTAAGCTGAAACGATAAATTTTAACGCTATGATGTCATAATCGAATTACATACATCCTTCCCCCGGATCGCCGATGACGACGACCTACCTGGAGGTATCGAGACAGCCACAGATGTACATGATCGTGTACAAACTTTATGCAAATTTCCACGAAATAGTCGCTATATCCATCTGCTATATTTACAATTCATAAATCATACATTGTTTACGAGCGATTACAAACCGAATGATACCGAATTTAAAGGCATCGCGAAAGCTAACACGCCACGGCGGACGCTACACGAGGGATGAGCACGCACGGGTTTTCTCATGCACGCACGCACGCACTGGTTTTCTCACCGCATTTCACACAGACGCGTGCCTTAACAACGTTATGGGTTTATACTTGAAATCAGGTGACTAATCGGTCAAAAGCTAAAATCAAATCAATCTAAAATCAATCATGTCAGCTAATTATCATCTAATGTAAATCAATCTAAAATCAATCTGAAATCCAAATCAATCTAAAATCAATCTGAAATCCAAATCAAATCTAAATCAGGTGACTATCGCGAGCCGGCGACTACAGAGCAATGGTCGGGTGTAGACACGGAAATTAGATTGAGTTTTAGATGCTGCGTTTCCTGTCGTCATAGCAACAGTAGATGCTTCACTAACTAACTTCAATTACTTATTTGAGTTTATTTAATTACCGCCTATAAAAGGGTGTTATATCTCATTTGGAATTTACTAGTGAATATATATATATACATACACATACGTGCGCACGCCCACAAACACGCATGCGCACACACATGTACACAAATTATATACTCACGCACGCACACACGCACGCGCACAAACGGGAGCACGTAGTACATAATACACATACATATATCTATGACATATAATACACGAACACATGCGCGCTCAACACACGCGCACACTCGAGCGCACGTAATACACATACATATATCTATGCTATATTTCTCGCAGCAGTCTGGCAGATACATGTACGTGTATATATTCGTCCAAACACTCGTTATTTTAACATGTAGGCCCCCCTACTGGGCATATGCAACCCAGTATACTACCGCTTGGTACATTAGCAATTATTCTAGAATTTCATGTATGCTGAATACTCTAAAATCAGGGTTCGCGCATGCGCAGAAGCTGACTGAATGATCCATATTTTGATTTTAAAATATATTTAAAATGGAGCCGAGCTATCCACGAGTAGATTTCTGCGATAAATATCTATCGCCATGACTCTGGTATAAGAGGGTACGACGCCCTAGCCTGCAGGGTACCTTCAGACAGAGCGTTTCTCGTAGCAGTCTCTCAGATACACGGGCACACGTAGTACATAATACACATACATATATCTACGACATATATACGTAGGCACATCTCATCGTGGACAAACACGTGCGTAATGCACCGCCCCCTCCCCCAGTCCGCAGCAGGAGGCGTGACACTCCCCCACCACGGTCTCACGCGACCCCCTTCCACGCTCACACAAGACACCCCCACGCTCACACGACTCCCTATTTGCACAACCCCCCTTCCCTCCCAGGGGCACTTCCTCCCACCGCACCCTGACATACCTCGGCGCTTAGCCCCCTCCCTCGGTCAGTGGTCGTACATTGTCGTGACGTTCGTCTGACGAACACGTACGTAACACTGAGCAAATATAGCTTCTTCTTCAGGAACGCAATCTATATCGTAACTTAGTTTACATAGAATCCACAGTGTATAATGACACTGCACACACGCTGGGCTTAAAAGAGCTTATTCTACAATGAAAATATAACGCTTTGGGATATGAACAGCTTTTAAGTCCTCACGGAAGATCAGGCGGCGTTCCAACAGCCGAGTGAGCTGTGAAACCTGTGAGCTACGCTATATCCCCATCATTATAGCCATCTCTTAATCAGCCACAAGATGCTTAAAAAGACTCTCATACACCTAAACCTTAATTACTTACGCAGGTGTAAAATATGGTTTGTAGGTGTCGTCAAGCGTTGTTGTCATTCTAATATAATTGGGATGCGATATAAAAAGTTGCAGGGAGTTGCGAGGAGCTCAGAGTTTTAGAAGCTGGATGTCAGAGATCTGGTATTGC